GCACGCATGCACGCACGCACGCACGTATACATACACGCACATGCACACATACACCCTTTGTATGTACATATGACACATGCGCATGTACACACATACAAATGCATACATACATGTGTGAATGCATGTATACATACACACGCACCTCGACACACATACACGTACACACACACACACACACACAAAGACGTATGTTTTTTTATGTGTTTGTATGTGTATATGTTTGCGCGTTTGCAGCGTGGGCTTGCGTATGCGTATGTGTATGCCTGTGACTGCATATTCGTTTTTGTATCTATTGTATCTGCAACTGTATGTGTATATGTACATGCATGTGTATATGTATGTCTCTCTCTCTCTCTCTATATATATATATATACTGTACATATTGATTGTGACTGCATGTGAACATAAATGTGTCTGCATGGTATGTGCCGAAAACTTATTCCGTGTACTCTAAGCCGCCAAGGCTTGCACATGCTTACAGAAGCAATCTTTTCCGAGATTTTCCGATATTCGACTGACCTGTGCTTGCCGCGAACAGGCGATGTTGCTGTCGGAGAGTGAGAGGGTGTCATTGGTACTGGTTCTCTTGTTTCTGCGCAGGAAGCTCTACACCTTTAAAAAGCTGCAGGATGCGATGGGTCTGATTCCTGGTGCTGCTGAGGTGCTCCTTGCTGACGTCTTGCTGCGGCCACGCATGTCTTTGGTGCACCAGAGCTATGCTGCGAGAGAGCGCCGTGCTCTGCCACAAGGGGTGTCGCCCAGCACCTTTTCGGCATTGTTTGCGCATGCGTGCGCTTTGCTTTCTGTCCGTCATTCTGGCATCCGGAGTCTTGATAGGCATGGCATACCAGCAGCCGTGTTTGATCCACGGCTGCATTGCGGAAGCGAATTAAAGCGCAGCGGCGATGTTGACTTGTTCTGAGGAATGCCGATGGTTTTGGTGTGGGTTGGTATGCCCAGCAAGCTCCGATACCCTGTGTCTTCACGTCGCTGAAGCCCGCCACTTCCCCGGCATCGTAACCGGAGTCATACCCTGCCTCTGTGGCGGTGAATGGCAAGGCCTGGAACGACCCCAATCTCCGTAACTTGTCCGAGGAGGTGGGGTGCGCTCAGTGGCAGCTCTTGACCCGAACTTGAGCCGCTGAAAAGTTTTGTCGAAGAGGTGCGATCGCCTTTAATTTTCGCTCACATCCGTGCAGCTGGCCCGTGGCGACCTTGTTGGATTTTCCCTCTTGTAATAACCTGGGCGGAGAGAGAGGCTGCGGCTTGTGAAATGCTTAGTGAGGTCCTCCAGTGTCAACGAAGCCGCCTGCCATCCATTCAAAGCCGGCCGCTGCTCGGAAGAAGGGCCCGTGGCCGTGCGATGTGCATAAGATGGGCCCTGCCGAACCATTGCTATTCGAGCTGTGCCCTGCTCGCCCAGTCGGAAACTTCGAAAAGTCCTTTGTGGTACCAGGTTTGTTTAGAGTAGCCGAGTGGCCTGCCTACTTGTGAGCTGGAGCCCACAGTCGGGGCGGTGATTGGCGGCAACGGGACGTGGGGACGTGAAGCCGAGGCTTCCTCTTTGCTCACAACGGCCTGGTCGGGAACTTTTCGCAGATCCGACGGCAGCTCCTGGCGGGCTTGAATGAGCAGCTTCCAAGAACGGGAATGTGACGGAATGTGTGGATGTCAGTGTGGGAAATGCTGCGGAGAGGGGCTCAATGATCCGAGGTATGCATTTAGCGTCACGCTGGACCACTCCTGTATTGATTCCGTCGTCTCTTGGAATCAACTGTCGTAGCTTGTTTTTGGGGCGGGGTTGTGGCGATGCGACGAGCTTCCGGACGACAGAGCGACTCGTCTCCCTAGGTCGCTTTTGGTATTTTCCTGACAGAGCTTGGGGTGTGCAGTGACGAAGATGCAACAGCGGAGCATTCCGCAGACGAGATGTGCGGTGCCCTTTCAAGGACGAGGGGAGCTTCGCCGTAGTCTGCGGTCCAAGCTTCCCAGATAGCGATGCAGAAGAAACGCAGTAATTAGCAGTTACTTTCATGTGAATTGCAAGTGTGTTTTGCAAGCCTTGTCACCAAATCTCCACCTCTATTGCATAATTTCGTTCTCTTCCGCACCTTCCGAGCATTGTGGCAGGACCGTGCTTCGACTCACCCAAGCTGCTGCGGAATACGGGCCCGAGGCACGCAGTGTCAGCATCACGAGACGTGACAGCCACCTGGGCATCGCCGAGGAGTCACTGCTGAACTTGATGGTGACTGTAGCTCGGCATGAAACAGAGCAGGCTTGCCGCACGACTGTTCCAACACTGTGCTTTACCAATTTAGGCTTCCAGGGGTCAGAGCAGCCCTGAAAGACCAGGTTGTGGTTCCCCTGCTGTGCTCTTCTGCTTTCATTGCTCTCAGGACGGCCAGCGCATCGTGGCCTGCCGCTATGGCACGGCCCCAGCAGAGACGCAGGAGGAGGGCCAGGAGGTTCCCCTGGGCGCGACCTTGTACTTAAGCACCCTGCCGGCGAAGATGCGAAGGTCGCTCCCGGTAGAGGTGCATCGTGCTGGGTACTAAGGTGTTGGCTCCCGTTGGGTGGCTTCGCCCGATGATCCTCAGACCTACCGCATGAAGAAGGGCGTGGACGCCTTAATTTTACTCGTCCCAGAGCATCAGCGGATGCCAGGTTCGAGCTTCGGGGAGCTTAGGCCGATATCAAGAGCTGCACTGCGATTCTTTCCTCGGAGCCCTTGACCCACATCCGGGAAGAGTGGCTTCCAATCGCGCCGAACAGCATCGTGCTGTGCGGTCGCACTCGGGGAGAGGGCGGCTCGGCAGCACTTGTAACTTTTCGAAGAATACTGTTAGAAGAAGAGGCCTTTGCATTGCACCTTTGCATGTACGGTATGAATTTGCGCATGCGATTGTTCAATGACACATGTACACAGCACGCACGCGTGCGTGTGTGCATATGTGTGTATGTGCGTAGATGTGTGTGTGTGTGTGTGCCGAAAAGACCCGCAGCAATCTTGGATTTTGGATCCGCCCGTATCCAAGATCCAACACCCGGTATGTTGCTGGCAAGAGCCCTGGCCCGGTACCACGTGCGGTACCAATACATAGACAGAAGCTACTGCAATCAGTGGTAGTAGTAGGTCTGTCTACATAGGTCTACCGACGGGAGACTCAAACTGAGCTGCGTGTCTGCTGACAGCTCGTGTATTGTGATGCTCACCGTGTCGCGAATACGATCGGTGAAGGACCACGGGTGTGTCACCGATGCACAGGAGCATGCGACTGCTGACATGTCTTGGTGAGTGTATCGGCAGCAACTAGGCCCTAAAGCCGGACATTTGATGACTGGAACCTTGGCACGAGTATTATAAAGCACAAGGGCATACTAGGCTCATTGCGCATATTGATGTTCAAAAAGGTTGTGATCTTGCTTCACTGCCTCAAAAGTGCGATCTGAACATGATGATGTTTAGCGTATGTTATCTTTCGGTTGCTGAGGTTTGGACCGCTATGGCTTGTCAACGATAGATTTCCTGACTCAGAGACGAAAGCGGTAGATCCATGAGGGCAAGGGGGGGAGGGCAAGGGGGGGGGGGGAGGGATAGCAAATGTATGTATGTATAAATATAAATAAAAATATAAATAGATAAACAAATAAATAAATAAACAAATAAATAAGTAAATATATATATATATATACACATGTATGTACAGTCTGTGTGTATGTTCATGTTCAAAAATATTTAGGTAAATCGGCTCTCTCTCTCTCTCTCTATATATATATATAAATATACATGCACGTCTTCCTGGCGTTGCAGCATCGCTTGTTGTTGTTGTGCGGCGTGACGCGGGATTTCTCGTGAGGCCAGGCAATTGACACACTGATGTTTCCCCTGAAATGTGGACCGGTGGTGGGTCTCAGTGCTCTTACAGGCGGCTCGGAAGAAGTTCATGTCGTTGCAAGAATCACGTAGCCAGCTTTTGTTTTGCGTGTCTGTGTGTTGTGTGCGGAGGTGTGGAGTCCGCACCAAAAGCAACGAAAAACATCCTGCTTGGTGAATCGCAGGAAGGCTTGTACCCTGTCTGCACCTGTGGTAGTTCTTGCTGAATCCTAAAGGGGGTTTGGCTTGGACTGCGCGTTCTGAGGTATCCGAATATTGTTTGAATGCTAGGTCGCACGCATTAAGAGATCGCAATCGAGCCCTTTTGGTCAGAAGAGCCTGCGCACGCAAACAGCCTGCGGGGCAACCGGTTGCAGCAAGCCGCTTCCAGGAACGAGATCCCTGACACCCATCAGGAGGGCGCCGGGATGTCATGGGCTTGCGCACGGGCTTTCAATTGCAAGAAGTGTAGAAGGTCATGTTGAACTGCCGGGAGGACATTTGGATGTCAATCACAGCGACGACGGATTCTGGAGATGTGAATTGCCTCGCGACCCTTTCAGACAGCCTGTTTGTGGCTGGGTCCATGGACGGGTCTCTGCGATTCTTCGACAGCGATGAAGGCCGGGCCTATTTCGCAGCAGTGCCCAGTAGTCGCAGAGGAGTATTTCCCTGATATCGTCATTGCTTCATAACAGAAACACAAGCGATGCTTATTCTGGAATGCCAGTCGTGATTGCCTCACTACTCCCATTAGTAAGCAGTCGTAACGGTAGTACTGTCATCTGCATACGTAGGCAGTGCTGTGCACCTTGTCACTTTCTCCCCTTGAGGCCAGGCACTCGCGGTTCGTCATCACAGCCAAGCCAGTGGGCCGGTCCTCTCACTGCTCTTCATCAGAAGAGACAATGCCCCTCCCTTGCAGCACTTGCCTCTCTATGTTGTTTGGGGGATGATCCTGCCATCATGGCCATAACCGTAGGGCCGTAGAGACACCGCTGGAAAGGATTCACCCGGCTCTTCCCATCGTGGGGATGAGTCGCCACTAGACGCTCAGACAGCAAAGATCTCGGTCGTAGACGAGGGGATTTGGGGAGCAGCTCGGTGCCTCGGAGGAAAGCTTGGGGAGTCCGGCAGACAGCACCTTGGCATCCCCACGGTCGCCAACGGAAGCTGGACCCCTCAGCTTTGGCCGGACGCAGTCAGAGGACCTGTCGCTCGGAGCGGTTTCAGCGAGCGAAAGCCCTAAACCCAAGTTCCAAGCACGCAAATTCCTCGCAAGCTCGGCTCCGCAAGGCACAGCAGAGGCATGTCCGCGGGCTGTCTAGGCCGGGCCCCCCCATTCCCGCCAGGGCCACTATGGGGACACATGCGCTTGGGAATCGGGGGGCAGAGGTGCCGCTGCCAAGCTGAAGCTGAACGAGCCGGAGATCTTGGCTTCTCGGGTACCGAAGGCCACCACCTTGGACTTGTGCCTCGGCAACACTCCCGTCCTAAGCTCTCCGCCCGAGGCGCTCTGCGCGTTCCGCAGTGCGTTCCCACTCCGAGGCTTCTCAGCACCTCGATCAACGAGCTGCGCGTCTGGGACGTGACGGCGCTGCTCCATGCAGAGGCTCCGAAGCTCGTATACGCGCACTGCAGGGGGGAAAGGGGCCACCATGGGGTTGCTAGGAGCAAAGCGATGATGACACGACCGTGCCTTGTCTTTTCTGCACCTTGGTCCAGCAGCCCATAGACAGCTCCCGACTCCCTGCAGATGACCCCCCTCTCTGGCGTGCTTGCACGGATGCTTAAGGCTTCCACTTTGCACCGAATCAGGGGCATCTGCTGAGCATCGCCGGCAGCCTGCAGACCGCAGCTCTGAACTGCACTGGTGGGGTTTGGGTGGTGCAAGCATCGCAGAGTCACGAAGCCACAAACAGACCGCAGAGCCGTACTGAGGTGATCTTGGGCTTTCAGAGCACGAACCTCTTCTGTTTGCGGCTGCTGGAGGGCTGGGCGAAGCTCCTGCAAGCGAAGACTCGGACGCGGACCACCAGGCGAAAGCGGAAGCGAGCGGAAGCCTCAAGCTCCGCTCTGACTCCCCCTTTTTCTGAAAGAAAGGCACTACACCTTCAACATCGACCTCGCCAAGAAGAAGCCCAACACTCCTCCTGGGCCCAACAAGTTTAGTCCCTCGGAGGAAGCCTGAGTCGGGGTACCTTGCGCCTTTGAACTTGCGTGTTGTGTTCTTCCTTGCTCCTCCCTCAGCCTAATGTGTGCGCTTATTATGTGCTTCTGCCTGGAGGTCACCACAGTTTGCTGGAGCTTTGGCAAAGCTGCAATCAGCGACACATGGGCTTCGTGCATTGCGTGGTCCAAGAACCGCTGAGTGGTATTGTGGCATCTGGTGGTGGAGATGGCCGCATTGTCTTCTGGGAGAAGGGTAAGGCAAGGTTCCGTCGGCAGTGCTCAGTTCTGCCTTCATCCCCAGTCCCTTAAGAGGCGGTTTGCTGCTTCAATCACGGCGGGCCAGTTCTTGCCTTGGCCGCCTGCGCCACTTCGAAAGCGGCCCAACTTGCAAGGGTTGAAAACTCCTATACAGCATCCTACAGCAAGGCGCGGGAGCGTGCACTCGCGGTGCACAAGCTCAGGCACTCTATTCTGGGGATGCCTATGGGCGCATTCGCGTCTGGGATGCGGCTTCAGTTCAGCACGGAAGCAAAGCCGTCCTCAGCTCAGGCCGGTTCCACAAGAAGTGCTCGGCCGCATCATGCTGCATCCGGCTTTGTCTCTTGGGCCAGGAGGCGGCTGTGCTGCTGCCATCCTGGCGTTGGCCACGCTGGGAGACCAGAACTTGATTTGCGAGGGCCCGCCCGTTGTGATCTCAGGAGCCTCCGGAGAGCAACTCGCCACAGACACCTTGAGAGAGCCAGCATCGTTACGAGGAGATGCAGCAGGAAGCCTTCGCCTCTGGGATGCAGACAAAGGCACCCTCCTTCGCGAGCTTCCCACGGGGGCGAGCTGCTGTGCTGCCGTCTCCCCACTCGGGATGAGGCCGTGCAGTCGAACTCGGCATGGCTTTTCTTCTCAGCGCTTGGGCGCAGGTTGTCTTCGACGGTGTCGTCTGGGCGATATGCCCTTCGGGTCGTGACCGGTGGCTGCAATTCCGGCTCCACACTCAGCTGGCCAAGAGCAAGCTCGAAAGCCTAGAAAATGCTGAGCCCAGGCACCATCCACGCCGCTTACTTGGATGTGAACACGGGCACCAAGACGTCTCGGCCGATGCTCTCCCCGCCCAGCCGTGTCTGCGGCCGCTTCTGCAAAAAGAAGGACTGCGGCCACGAGGACTCCAAAGACACTGCGCAGAAACAAAGAGAGGTCGGATGCCGACTGTGCTGCGCATGATGCTGCTAGGTCTTTAAGTGATAGAGTTTACATATGTTTTTGTTAGCACGAACCGAACTGCAGGACGCAGTCGAGTTTCAGAGGCTGGTAACCCTTCTGGGCGAGTTCGTCGCTTTCCAGACGGTCTCAAGTGACAGCTGCTGGTCTGACGATGCCCAGACAAGTCCAAGAAACGGCCTGTAACAGCTGTGCCGGGCCCTGTGGGGCCCTTTGGAGTCGAGGCCGACATGAGCCGGACATGCAGAAGGCGGCCTCCTGGCTCGCCCGGCGCTTCGAAGAACTCCTCGGGGCCACAGCCGCTTTGACAGAAGAGAAGCGCCTTTAAAGGCTCCAGGCGTGCATGGCTGAAGGACCATGTTGACAGGTGGTAGGCTGTCAGTGACAGTCTTGCGGTGTGACCCGTGGCGCTGTAGCTGTGTAGTGCAGCTAGCAGCTTGTCTGCGGCAGCTGGTCTTTGGCAAAGGCCTGCGGATACTCAGGTGCGGATTTGCAATGGGGCAGTTGTCGCCAGATGCGGTTGGGACCTGAACAAGCCTCTCGTAATCATGTGCCTTACCTCGCAGATGCGATCAGCTTCGTTCAAGCACTTCAGGATTCGAAAATCACGAGAACGGATTCCCATGGTTTGTGTGAGGTATTCGCACTATGATGTCGTTGCTGCTGGGAAGGGATGGCACACCGATCCCTGGACCATGCGGGTGGAAGATGGATACTTCTACGGCCGTGGGGTGAGCGACAACAAAGGCCCACAGCCTGGGTCAAGAAGCCACGATCCCAACGTGTCAACTGAAGATTCGACTTGAAGCCTTGCAGGTCCGCTGCTGGCACAGATATTTGCAGTCCGGAGGCTGCTTCAGCACAGCGATTCCTCAGACTTCTGCCTGGCCGGTTTTGACTTGGAAACCACGCAGGACAGCGACAACGCGAGAGCATGGGTAGGTCCATGAAGCGTCTGATTCAGTCGCGATATACCTAGCGCTCAGCAGCACTGAGGGTGGTTGCAGACTTGTTGGCGCCTGGCAGGAGGAGGAATGCCCCGTTAACGTCCTGTTCATTGTGGACGGCCACGAAGAAAGTCGGATCCCGAGATTCTTTTGGCGGCTTCTTGTGCTTTGCCAGCCTGAGTTGCTACGGCAGGTGGCGACCCCAGCAACACGCTTCGTGTGGTGCGAGAGGCACGCAGCGATGGGTGGCTGCGCGGTAACACGGTCGGCCTGATCGTCAACAACTCCTCATGGATTGATGATGAGCCTTGTTTGCATTGCTGTGGGGATTGGCTCCTCACTCCCTCCTCTTGGCTCTTATGAGATTGATACCTCTCCGAGGAGCGGCCGTGCCTGTGCAGGAGCCTGAGCTGTGGCCGGAAGGCACCAGAAGCAGGAGGGCGGCATGATGCGACGTCTGAGGCTATGGCATGAGAGGCGTCCTGGATCTGGAGGTGGCCATCCAGGGCGGAGAGCGCGACTTGCACAGCGGCGTGAACGGCGGCTTGCTGCCGGAGCCGACCTTTGACTTGATGTCCTTGATCTCCTCCTTGACCGATGCCACTGGGGTTCCCACGGTGGCCGGGCTCTCCGAAAGCCGGGAGCCAAAAGGGAGCGGCCGAGAGCGGCTTAGGGTCTTAAAGCGTCCTGAAGCTGAGGTCTCTGCAATATCCAAGACGAGGACCTCGTGAACTTGTCCGCGGCCGGGCAGCAGCATCTTGGCACAGCTCGGGCCGCGGGTTGGCACAAGCACTCTGCAGACTCTCTGAGATTTCAGGATGTCCGTGGAGAAGATTTGCCAGCGACTGGGTATTCCCAATGGCCATGCCGGCCCCGGTTGGCTGCAGAGCTTTCAGAATCCAGGCCCCGCGAGACGGGACGTCGGGCTTCATTTCAGGACGATTCCCGTGGTGCTGGGCACCGAGGCATGGAAGCGCTGAAGAGAACATGGCTGCAGCCCTCGATCTCCATCACAGAGATTGGAAAAGGTGGGGGGGGGGTCCCTCGCCTTTCTTTTGATGCCGGGTGAAGCCGACCACGCCCTGCCCTGAAGTTCTGGGAAGGCCCCAGGCACCTGCATGGACGGCACATCGCGAACCGTGCCTCCTGTGTGGTTTCCGTGCGCACCACCCCAGGCCTGGGCCCCCCGTCCCCCAGTTTGTTTAAGGATGGATATAGCTTCGGCGGTGGGTCTGTGTCGGGCTCGTGAAGCGGTTTGTCTACACGCATGAAAGAGCACGAGCAGCTGGCCTCAGTAGCTGACTCGCTCCAGTCCGGACCAGGCCAAAAGCCCGAGGATGTGGTGGGGTGCCTGAAGCAGCACCTGCAGCACGAGTGGCTCGGCGTCGCGAGCATAGCTTCGCCTTGAGCCCCCAAAAGCGGTGCTTCAGCCGAAGGTGAAACCTAGGGCTTTGCACCCACAAGAAGCACCCCCCCGCCCCCAAAAAATTGGTAAAAGGCTGGTTCTATGGTGTAGCCATACTGGGTCTGGGGTTGTATCACGGCGGGTTCTGGGTCTTGTATCATACCATATTCTTACCCTTATTCACTCTCATATATCGCCACCTATTTCATTTCTATCATCAGCGCCACCTTATTCGTTTTCATTGTTTTCACCCCTTCATTCATTTCGTCCTTTACCTCATCATCATCATCGCCACCTCATCCGTTTCTCACCACCATTTTTATTTAAGTAGGTTTTCCACCCTTTTTTATCATCATCATAAACCTTCCCCTCCTTCGTTCTAAAATTTATAATATCGTCTCATTCGTTTTCTGGGACATCGCCACCTCAAAGGCTTTTACCAAAGATTTATAATAATTTAATATTATAAATATTTGTTTATTTTGTTTTGATAGTGCTAAATAATTCTATTGTTTTGAATTTATCGCTCATTTCTTTTTTAAGTGTTTCCATTTATTATGATACTCTATGTTATTGTAGCGTTGAATTGTTTTATCAATGTCAATAGTGAAATTACATTCTTCATTATCAAGTAATTTCAACCTTTGTAGAATTTGCTTTAATAATTCTTCACTATGACTATTTCTATCTTTTTCATAAAAGGTGATTATAATTCTATATAGGACTTCCTGAAATAATGTTTTTCGCTTATGATTAAGTCGTTTGTAAGCGAACACTTCTTCTTTTATTTGTTTATAATTTATGTCTTTGAATATGTCTTCATTATGTATGTTTTCATATAAGTCTTTTAATATTGTTAGTTGGTTGGGTTCTTTTAAAATAAATTTACATAAGCAGTAGTAATCCATTCTTTTACAATGATACAAGACTTTATCTGTTCCGCTTATATAACTATGACCTGTCATTGAAATAATACTATCAATTTCTTTTTTCAGTTTAGGGAATGGGTTATTCTGTGTCAGGGTCTGTATCTCAGTGTTGCTTACCTCGCTCATTGCTCTCTTACTATTCTAAGGCGTCCTCCCTTTAAGTAGTTTTGCCTCGGTCGAGAATAGCAGGTGGCTTACCCACTTTACCAAAGATTTATAATAATTTAATATTATAAATATTTGTTTAGTCTCTACTGTTAAATCCATCTATTAAATATTTTTGTATTTCACCAAAGTTAAAGTATCTTTCTCTACATCTAATTCCGTGTTTGAGATACACCAAAACCAATTCTTTAAGAATTGACCATATTAATTCTTCTTGTCTCCTATAAT